TCCTCTAGCATTATGTTTTTCTAATCATATATAGTGTCTTGTTTAGTGTGTGGCTATACATTATCCTCTTATCATTGAAATAGGTGATTTCAGTACATTTGTCTTTTAACCTACATATTATCTTCATTGGTAGTTGATCTGCTACCTTTATTATATTTTTACCTTGCAAGTGATTTTATTGCCTGATTTTTGTTGTTGTTTTGGTTTTTTGACAATTTTTTTAATCTCTACTTGTGGTCATTGCTTTCCCACGTAAATAAGTCCCTTCAGCATTCCTTGCAGAACTGGTTTCCTGGTTATAAACGCCTTTAATTTTTGCTTGTCTGGGAAGCTCTTTATCTCTCCTTCCATTCTGAATGGCAACCTTGATGGATAGAGTATTCTTGGCTCTAGGTGCTTTTCCTTTTAGCACTTTAAATACATCATGCCATTCTCTTCTCACCTGTAAGGTCTCGACTGAGAAGTCCACTGATAGGCTGGTGGGCTTCCCTTTATATGTCACTTATGGTCTTTCTCTTGCTGCTTTTAGGATTCTCTCTTTGTCTTTAATTTTGGACATTTTAATTATAACAGGTGTTGATGTAGGCCTCTTTGTGCTTGTCATGGTTGGAGCTCTCTAGGCTTCCTAAACTTGGATATCTGTTTCCTTTCTCATGTTAGGAAAATTTTCATCTATTATTTCAACAAATAAATTTTCTACCCCTTTGTCTCTCTCTTCTCTTTTGAGACACCTATAATCCGGATGTTAGCACGCTTAATTTTGTCCCAGAGTTCCCTTAGACTGTTCTCATTCTGTCTAATTCTTTTTTCTCTTTTCTGTTCTGCTTGGGTGATTTCCTCCAGTCTTTTATCTAGCTCGCTGATCCGTTCTTCTGCATCCTCTACTCTGCTATTGAGTCCCTCTAGTGAATTTCTCATTTCCAATATTGTATTCTTCATTTCTGCTTGTTTTTGTTTTATATCTTCCAGTTCTTTGTTGATGTGCTCACTGTGTTCATCCATTCTTCTCCCCATATCTGTGAGCATCCTCATGATATTTTGTTGGAACTCTGTTGAATAGGTCACTTGCTTCTATTTCATTTAGTTCTTTTTCTAGGGTTTTGTACTGTTCCCTTGCTTGGGAAGTATTCCTTTGTCTCCTTATTATGCCTCTTTCTCTGTGCTTGTGTCTATGTATTAGGTGAGTTGGCTATCTCTCCTGATCTTGGAGAAGTGGCCTTATGTAGGAGATGCCTTGTAAGGCCCAGCAGTGTGCTTCCCTCTTGTCACCAATCCATAAGAACCAGGAGTGACCCCTTTGTGGGCTACTTGTGTCCTTCTGCTGTGGCAGTTTTGCTCCCACTGCAGGTACCCAGGGAGTCTAGTCTTTCCTTCCTTGGCCAGCTGTTTGTAAATCTGGTTTGGGAAGCCTCAGCACTGTTGGCTACAAAGTCTATCAGCTCATCCTATTGCAATTTTCCTCTTAATTGGGTTGGCATCCAGTGTAGCTGGTTGCTAGGCTCAGGGGTTTATATTCGTGATAGGGCTCAGGCCTACAAGGCTGTTGTCAGTTCTCTTAGGGGTCCAGCTGATGGGTGCTGGCCCTTGGCCCGGGGGCACTCCATTGTTTCAGGCTTTGGAAGTTAGGGCTGATCCTTTTTATGGCTATTTGTGAAGCACAGGTCTTCTGCCTCTGATTAGCCTCACCCCCTCAGGACCACATACACCATCAACACAGTCATATTACATGCACACTTCTCAACCCCCTGGAGCATACCCAAACACCACACTGCATAGGCCCCCATCTCTACAACAATGGCCCCCACAGTTCACCTGGTCCCCACACAGGCCCTGCCCCACAGAGGCAGACACCCTTACCTGCCTGTAGAGGATCAAGGCACCCAGTCAATGCAGGCTAAAAAGTAGCCTGAGGGCTTGCTGTTAGGTGGGGCCAGTCCCTAGGGTGGGTTGTCTGCCCTGGCTGGGCTGGAGTAAATCTGTGCTCTAGTGGGCGTTGCAGACCCCTGGGCTAACAGGCCAAGGGGTGTACCTCAATGGCACCCAGTGGGGTCCATATCAGCACACCTGAACCAGCTAAGAACAATGGCCCCCACCAATGTCTCAGTCTCCAGAGAGGTCCCTCCTCTGACCAATATGCCCCCAGAGCCCACCAGGTGAGTGTGAGTCTCGTTTCACCAAAGGACTGTTAGCCTTCTCTCCGTTGATTTTAGGTTGCTGCAATGAGTGAGTTTGTGTGCGAGCCCTTTAAGACCCCAGTCTTTTTGGCCCTCAGCTGATAGCTCTTCTGGGGGTATCCTAGCTGCAGTTAATAGCCAGCAAAGCCAGACAGTAAGACCCTCGTCTCAGTTGGGCTGAGTCTGAATGATGCTTATAGCAGTATCATCCCCGCTCCAGACCTCACTCCTCCAGGGATGGCTGTGTACCTTAGGGTCTCTCCCTCCCCGGCCAGCTGAGAAACTCCTCTGCTCCCAAATGTGGCTTTTTTCCTCTCCAGCAGGAATTGCTGCCTCCTCTGCCTTCATCCGTACTGTCCCTTGTTGCGGCGTTTCTTTTTATCCAGTTTTCAGTTTTCAATCTGGGGTAATTTTTCCAAAAATACTTGTAACCTTGTTGTGTTCATGGGAGGAGACAAGTTCAATGTCTGCTCACACCACCATCTTGATGAGATCTCAAAAATAAAAAAAGACATTCCTTATAGGAATTGGCTCAAGCAGTTTTTGAGGCCAAGAAGTCCTACAAATCTAACATCTGCTAGCTGGAGAAAAAGGAAAGCCTATGAAATAATTCAGTCTAAGTCTGAAAGCCTAAGAACCAGGAAGTCCTTGGTGTAACTCCTAGTCTCAGGCCAAAAGCCAGAGAACTTAGAGGCCACCGGTATAAGTTGCATGTTCCCAGAACCAAGAACCAGAAACTCTGATATGAGAGGGCAAGAAAATGTGACCACACAGATCAGAAAGGAAGATCAATTTTTGGCACACCCCAGAATCTCAGGATATTTTCAGGATCTCTAGAGGAGAGGAATTCACCCAAATCTATGGTTTTGCAGGGAAATTCTGGTGGCAAGTTCTTTTCTTGTCTTTCTGTCCTGAGAGGTTTTGAAAAGTCTAATCCAAGATTTCTTATGAATAGCCCCAGCAAAGCAAAAACTCAACAGACCTATGTGGCCAGTCATTATTCTTGCTGTCCTTATGTAAATAATGAGACTAAGTTTAATGAAACTAGATTTATTCTGAAAAAAATTAGTCTTAATTTGATTATCTCTGATTGAATGATGATGAGTGTAGAGAGAAAAATATATTTCAATGGAAAACAGTAATGTAGCTGATGGAATAAATAGAAAACACTAAGGAAAGTTAATATATTGAGGCATATGAGGAAGCCATTTTGGTTTAAAACTGATTATCCCTGAACTTGTTTTTCCAGAATGGCCTGAAGTGGTCTAACAAGCATGCATTGTACATCTGCTTTAAACATTTACAGTATCCCAAAGCAAAGAATGCTGCCTTTAAAGATAGGGATGAAAGCCTCCCTCCCGTATCAGCATTTCTTTAAAGATAAGCATTCCTTTCCAGAAACCAGGGTCAGATTGACCTTCTGTACATAGCAAAACATCTTGTGACTGTAGCAAAAAGGAAAAAAAATGTATTCCTGTCATATTTGATGTATGTTCTTTGTTCCAAAATGGTATATAATCATGCTATACACCTTGCTTCCCTGGAGTGCTTCTTTTCCTGGTGGAGGTTGCCTTTCCAGGCTATTGTCCTCAGAATTGGCTCATATATTAAAATCAACTCAATTTTGATCTACAGATTGATTATTGGTTATTTGCATCAACATACACTTTTGGATTTCACATTGTAAATTTTGCCAGTGCATGCCAAGGCATGAATTTTTCTACTTTCCTTCAATATCTGCTACGCTTTGCAAAGTAATATTTCTACTTTTTCTCTCTTTTGACTAGAAATCACTGAGACGTAAAACTGTCCTTTTTATGAAGCCTTACAAGCAGAAGCTAGATAACATGATATAAACACAAAGAAAATCAGCACAACAGATTATATATGGAAAACTTTGCGTCTGCTGCTAAGTATGTCCCTCAGAAAGCTCACTGGAAAGTCCGATGCCATCACAACAGACATTCAAACTGAAAATTAGAAAATTCAATAGACTGTCACTGCTGTCGACACTATCTAAAAATACCTCAAACTCCAAATCAAGAAATCTAAACAGGCTGCCCTGTGGAATCAGAAACTAGGTTTTTAACATTAATCTTTGTCTTCTTTTATTTTCATAAAAGACAATAAATGCTCATTAAATGCCAGGTGGCTAGCACCATAAAGCATACCTTCTATTACCAATTCTCAACATGTAATTTAAAAGGTCCTTAATGAACAAAATGTAACCTAACAAGAAATGGACTTACGTTGTTCTAAGGGAAGAAGAATGTCTGTTATCTCTTTAAAACAATAGGAGAAACTGACAAAGATTCTTTGCTTGACAAAACTTTGTCAAGCTCCTAAATATTCTCCTAGGTCCATCTGCACACTTTGTTGTAAAATCCTCAGCAAGATTCCTGCTAACTCAGTATAGCAAAAGTCCCTCATCTTCTATATTTGATCATCCTCAATATCTATTCAATTTTCTATTTCTCCACCACCCACCAGATGATGTCTGGTCTTCAGTAGGAATTCTGTTAGGTCAGTTTAGCCTAAATTCTCTTATACTTCATGTTTCCTCCTATAATTTTGCATCCACTGAACCACCTCAGACTTCTTGGCTATAAATTTCTATTTGTTCATACTGTATTCAGACGTTACCTCAGTTTAATACTGAGGACTCTTTTTCCTTATTACAATAGTCCAGAATAAACCTGTTTTTACCACTTTAACTAAGGTCCAGGTACATTTATCTCTGACAGTAGTAAGAATCAATCACCCTAGTCAGCACACAAACTCCCTTCCTTGCAAGTTTATTCAGAGGTATGAGATACACGATGTAGCCAGGTGGCAGTCTTAACTTTTATTCGAGGGGGTTATCATTTTATCTCCTGTTGGAAGCATTCTTTCTTCTGGAACATAGACTTCTAGTTCAACAGAGCATAAAGTCTTGGGAACAAGAAACAAGAATATTGTTAGTACGTCACTAAGGGTAATAGTCTGTAATGTCCCTCCCATTTCCTCCCCTTGATTCCTGGACTATGAGTCCTGGCTATAAGAGAAACAGTACTATATATATGATGCAGATTCAGAGCAGATATAGCCTCCTGAAGAACCTCACAACAACCCTGCAACATCTTGCAGCCTTATTGACTCTGTAACAATGTCTTCTAAAGGCCCTTCTACCATTCTATCAGGTCAGCTGCTTCAGGATGGTGGGGAACATGGTGTGACCAGTGAATTCCATGATCATGGGCCCATTGCCACACCTCTTTCTCAGTGAAGTGAGGTCCTTAATCCCAAGCAGTACTGAGGGGAACACCATGACAGTGGATAAGGCATTCTAAAACTCCATGAATGGTAGTATTGGCAGAAGCATTGCATCAGGTAAGGCAAATCCATATTTAGAGTATGTGTATATGCCAGTAAGGACAAAATTCTGACCTTCTTATGATGGAAGTAGTCCAATTTAATCAACCAATACTAGATAGCTTGGTGAACAACTCAAGAAATGGTGCCATATCAGCTATTTAGTGTTATTTCTGGCTGCTGGAAGACTGGTACCTCAACCTTGGTGAAGTAAAGTATATATTTCTGAGCCTCTATATAATCTCCATCCTTGCCACCATGGCCACCTTGTTCATGGATATGTTGGCAATGGCAGGGATGGGTGGAGAAAGAAGTTGACTGGTATCCATAGAATGTATCATCCTATCCACTTGATTATTGAAATCATCATCTGCTGAGGTCACCCTTCAGTAAGCATTTACATGCAACACAAATATCTTCATATTTTTTAATGAGAGGGGTCTCTTCACATGCCTCTTCCCCAAATTCCATTGTCACCAATTTTCCAATCATGTTCCTTTCAAGTCCTTGATCATATAGCCTGACCACTGGCCATAGCCCATAAATCAGTATGTAATACCAAGTATGGCCTTTTCTACTGCCAAGAAATAAGAGAAACTGGGTTTACTGCATGAAGTTCTGCCCACTGGGAGGAAGTCCCTCCACCACGGTCCTCCAGGGATATGCCAGAGAGAGGGAGTAGGGCTGCAAATGTCCATTTTCAGATGGTACCTGTATATGGTGCAAAACCATCTGTAAACAGACTTGTGTTTTCTCTTCCTCTGTCAACTGATCTTAGGAAGCTATTCATGAGGTCTTAGCTGTAGGCTAAGAAAGAGAAAGCACAGAGGCATGAGTTAAAGACCCAAGGATTTGAGACACTTCTTCTGGTAACTTACTTGTGCCTTCATAGCCTGCTCAAGCTCAATCATGTATTTACCACTTTCTGTTCATGATGGACTATAACTGTGCATGCCCATCTTTATGCATAATAGGTCAGATAACATCCAGCTGATGGTAAGCAGCTCAGGTCACATGGTTACTTTGTGGCCAATGGTCAAGCATTCAGTTTCTGCTAAGGCCCAGTAGCAGGCCAAAACTTGTTCTAAAAGGAGAGAAATTATCTGTGGATGAGAACATGGAGTTGCTCCAGAATCCTAAATTCCTGCACTGTGATTCTCTTTAGGGGCTGCCAGGGCTCCAAACACCATCTATATCTGCCAATAAAACTTCAGGACCCTTGAGTTTACTGGAATATATGGCCCAAGGGGCAAAGCACCAATGGGTCTAAAGCTTAGACCTGTTAACAGAGTCTTCTCTACTTCTGGGCCCTAATCAAAACTGGCAGCATTTCAGGTCAATGGATACATTGGCCAGAGTAACACAACTAATTGAGGAATATGTTGCCTCCCAAATCCAAAAAGGCCCACTAGGTGGTGTGTCTCTTTCTAGATTGTGGGAGGGGCCAGATATTAAACTCATGCTTACTCTAAAAGGGACACCTGGACAATCCCCACACCACTGGACTCCTATAAATCTCACAGGGGTAGAAGGTCTCTGAATTTTAGCCAGATCTATTCCATATCCCTGCCACACAAACGCCTTACCAATAACTGTAGAGAAGTTGCAATTCTTGTTCAATAGGTTCTATCAGCATAAATTCATTAATGTAGTTGATTAGTGTAATATCTTTGGGGAAAGAATGGTGATAAAGATCCCTGAAAAACAGAAAAGATACATAGAACTGGAGAGATGACAAGCCATTGTATTAGTACTGTGAAGATATATCAGATACCTTGCCTGCTAAAGAAAAACCTTCTGATGGAACTTATGGACATGAGTCACAAAAAAGACATTTACCAGATCAACAGCTGCATCATGGGTAGTAGGGGTTGTGTGAGTTTGCTCATGCAATAAAACTACATCTGGTACAGCAGCTGCAGTTAAAGTTAAAACTTGGCTAAGCTTGCAATAATCTACTGTTTTTGTTTAAGATCCATCTGTCTTATACACAGGCCAAATAGAAGACTTGAAAAGGGAATGGTAAGAATCATCACTCCAGCTTCTTTTAAATCCTTGATAATGGCACAAATCACAACCCCTCCAGGAATGTGATATTGTTTTTGATCTACTTTCCTAGGTATAAACAGTTCTGATAACTTCCATTTAGCCTTTCCCACCGTAATAGTCCTTACTCCACAGGTCAGGGAACTCATGTGAAGATTTTTTCAGCTACTAGGTATTTGCATTCCAACTATGTATTTTAGAAGTAGGGAAATAATCACAGCATAGTTTCAGAGACCCAATGAACCCATTGGGGAATGTGGCTGTGATAGAATGCCATAGCTCCCATAAGTCTCTAATCTGACTAGAGGGCTACAGTGATGTTTTTGTTTTCCTAAAATCAGCGTCAGTTCAAAGACAGTGTCCTGTAGTTTCTGAATGGTCTGATTATTTCCCTTCCCCCAATGCACAATTACCCTGGTAAAAGGCAGTGGTTACCCTTGAGAAAGGCTGGGAGAAAGATGAACAGTATAAATTTTTGGTAGTGTGCTATGTCCTTCCTCAATGGGACTTTGTCTTCTCTTCGTTCAAGGGATTCTAGGTCTGTATACGGTTCAAGTCAGGGAATTATTGAGGGGCTGTGGCATACTAAATTTATAGGTCAAGTTAGACTTCTGTTACTTGACCTAGTACTTTTTTGATTATATAGTTCAAGTAAACATTTAGTACACTTCCTATCCTTTTCACTTTTAGGAACACCACAATTAAGTAGCCAATGCCATGGCTTCCCTTTCCACTTCAGCCTCTCAGCTCCCTATAGTCACTTAAACTTTAGGCCCCCAACCCTCCATTGAGTGCTCCCAAGGGAGTAAAGGACCCCCTAAAGCAACCATCTGATACTGAAAAGAAAACAAAATGCTATTTTGAAAGATAACTCAAAATTTTGTCCACTCAGAGGGGTTTTAGAGCCATCCAGACAACTTCTAGATGTCTCCTCACTCAGGGACCTAGAACTTATTCCACAGCCTCCATCAGATTACATGTTAGGGAAAAAAAATCTCAGAAGTCTCTTCCAGAAATACTGTTAAGCAGGTACCCATAACTTGCCCATTTGCCGGAAACACAGTTTGTATAAAAATATACTGTGGTAGTAAACCAGGTGAGATTGTATTACTACGTTTATTGAGTCAAGGCTAAAATTTTAGAATGAAAGCTATAAGATCTCTGTTTGCCCCTATATGTAACTTTTGGCAAGTATTTGTATGTAGGTATGTATATACATACGCATGCTTATATGTTGGGTGTATGACACATTTTTTACCTCTGGATATTTTAGTGAATTAATTCATCAAATCCCTTAAAAGAGTTGTATTCAAATTGGCATATAGGTAAATGAGCACTTCTATAAATTATTTCTAAAACTCTCAGAAATACAAAAACAAATCCAATTTTTAAAAGCTCTTTACTGGGATAATCTTTGTTAAATAAAACAGTTTTTTTAATTGTTGGTAAAATAAAAACACACATGGCTTCAGAGTTTCCAGCATTGACTATAATTCACACATAAAATTACTTTTTACCTAGTTTTAGTAATTGAACAAGTTTATGTTGTTTCTACTAGATGTTTAAGATTATAAAACTATAAATCCATTCTAAAGAATAAATGTACATTAACCATGAATTAGCTGCCCTGGTGGTCTAATGGTTAAGATTTGGCACTCTCACCACCACAACCCATGTTTATTTCCAAGCCAGAGAACCACACCACCCATCTGTCTGTTTTCATACTGTGGCAGCTGCATGTTGCTGTGATGCTGAAAATTATGCCAAAGGTATTTCAAATATCAGCAGCCACACATGAAAGATCGGTTTCACTGGAGCTTCCAGAATAAGGCATACTAGGAAGAAGGACATGGCCATCCACTTCCAAAAAGATTGGCCATGAAAACCCTATGAATAGCAACAAAACATTGTCTCAGATAGTGCCAGAAGATGAGAGGTTGGGATTAAAAGACTAGGAAGTTTCTCCTCTGCTGTACACAGGGTCACTAGGAGTCAGAAATGACTCGACTGCATTAACGACAACAAAAAATATGTTGCTTAATGCATGTCAAGCATGGTAGTAAATTAAGAAGAAAATATAAGAAGGAAGAACCATGTTTAGCTTTTCAGATTCTGTTCTTCTATGATTTTTTTTGAATTTGCCTAATTGTCAAGAAGAAAAATAACTTAGAATGATGGCAAGATGTGAAGATATCATAATCAATTTGCAGAAATTATATGAAGTTCATAGAAATTTGTCAATACACCTGTTGTCCCATTACTATGTTAAAATGATGTATGCCACAGAAATAATTAACATTCTTTATCAAATGAAATCTCATCAGACTATAACCATGACCATCTTAAGTCATTTGTGATTCACAGCCAGTTATTGATTGACACTGATTCCTTTCAGAATGTGTTCACAATAAGCTTCAGGAATGAATGTTATCTGATGGCATTACTTGAAAAGTTTGTGAACATATGCTGGACTTATTAAGAATTTCCAGAAGTAATGAAGAAGTTGATTTATTCCTAAAACTACTAACTCAAGTTCAGGCATAAGAAGAATTAAATTCATGAAGCTGAGTCAACTGGTGAGGATTTTTATAATTTTTATGACTTTTTGTTTTAAACATTGGTGGTATTTCACATTTGTACCACAATTTAGGAAACATTTTTCCCTTAAACTAGTGTAATTTACATAAAATTTTGAAGTATACATTTGTGACCTAAAATGAAACCATTAGTTTTTCTCCCTACATGATCCCTCTTGAATTTGAAATCTCTCAGTGAGTACTCATATTTTATGGCAATATAGTTATGCTTGTAAGTTCAGTAAGAATCTATTCTCCTTTAATAAGACATTGTTGGAAACATTGGATATATTACCAAGGCTTTGACTGGATTTTCATATTTGATAATGATGTGCATTGAATAAGATATGAGCAGACAAATTTAAGGATTAAGGTTGACTTTGAGGAACCAATGCCTGTGAAGCCTCCCTTAGAAAAACTAGCCTGTACCTTTCTTATAGGGTTCCCCACCAGACCATGTCATGCAGACTCAAGAACCTCAGGAAATTTGGGGGAAGTTGGGAAGAGAGGAATTTACCCAAATCGATGGGTGTTGCAAGCAAAATCTGGTAGCAAGTTTGCCTTAGCTTCCAAGCCTCGAGAAGCTTTGAAAAAGTCCCATCTTAGATTTCTTATGAAAATTTCCAGTAATGCAAACTCAAGAGACCTATGGGGTTCAACACTAATTTGATGCACTTATGTAAATAGTCAAGCCAAGTTTAACGAGACTAAACTTATTTTACAAACACATTAGTCTGACTTCTATTCTCCTTGATGGAAAACGTGGAGATTTTAGAAAGACAAGTAATTTTAATGAGAAACTATAATATACCCTTGTGGGTCTCTTCTTGAATATTTGCCAGTCCTTGACACATCTTGTAATCTCCTCAATCCTCCTATGTCTAGCTAAAGCTTGCCAAATCAACATTTACAATTATTCTCCCTTCTGACTTGAAATCATTGAGAACTAAAGTTGCCCTTTTCCTGAAAACCTGCACACAGAAGCTGAATGATACAATGTAAATTTCAAGAAAATCACAGCAGATAATGAATGGGCAACCTTCATGCTCCTGCTCTGTGAGCCACTCAGTACACCAAATACCTGATGGCATCATCACAGACATTTGCACTGCAAATTAGGAAATTTATCGGATTGCTACATCTGTCCTCATTCCTCCATATAAAGATGGTTTGAGCCAAACATCTATAAATCTTCTTGACTGGATGCCCTCTGGAATTGAAAACTTGTTTTTAACATTAATCTTTGTTTTTCTTTTACTTTCTTGGAATCTCTCCTTCATTAAATGCCTGACAGCAGGCACCAACCAGCAAATACTTGCTACTTCCAAGTCTCAACAGATGATTCAGCCAATCTGTATGAACAAAGGTAACTGAAGAAGAAATGGACTTACATTGTTCAAAGGAAAGAAGAATGCTTCTTCTTTTCTTGAGCATGAAGGGAGACTGACAGATTCTTTGCTTAACCAACTTTAGTCAAGCTCCTGAACCTTTCTTAGGACCATAAGCACTTTTTGTAAAATTCTTATCAAGAATCTAGCTAAGTCAGTTTAGCAAGAGTTCCTCATCATCCATTTCGGATCACGTTTGATATCTAATTGAGTTTCTCATCCTTCTCCATTTAATAGCTGATGACTAAACTGACTGGCCTATCTTCAGCAAAAATCCTGTTAGATTGGCTTAGCCAGAAACCCCCTTACCTTGATGTTTCCTGTTGGTAATTTTCCAAACAGTGACACCTACTAGCCTCCTTGACTATTAGTTTCTACTTGTTAATGCTGTATTTGGGATTGAACAAGAGTCTATATTGAGGTCTCTTTCCCTTATTACAGTATTCCTGGATTAATCTGTTTTTACTGCTTTAGCTAATGTCCTGCTATGTGTTGTCTGGCCTTAGAATCAACCACCCCAGCAAGCACAATATATCCCTCCTTTGTCTTTTGATTCAGAGGCATAAGAAGCCCAATGTGGCAGGGTGGCATTCTTAACTTCCACTTTAGGGAAATCACTGTTTTGTCCCCTGGTGAAAGCTTTTCTTCCTCTGCAACTAAACCTTCTAGATCGGTACAGCATAATAT